ATACTAAACAAAAGGTACAATCGCACAGACATGGTTTGGGAGAATTCTTATTTGTGTAAGTGTCAAGCTTCCATTCAGCAATATGGTATTACAAAAGGGAAGTGATTTTCAATTCAGAAATCTGAAGGTACAGTCAGAAATAAGTATAATCATTAAGGGATCATTTTAGAGTGCAGCAAACAAGTCTAATTATTGACAACCATTCGAAGTATGTGGTTTTTAAAAGCTTTGACCTTGATTCCCATGTATATCTTTTTTTTTACCTCACTTGCAGACCCTATTGAAGTATAAGCAATTGTTTTAAAAAGCAGCTAAACATAGGACAGAGGACAGGTCTCCAGCATCCCTAAAGGTTTTCCTTACAGCCTTTCTGGTTGACAATGTTTCAAATGTGCTAAGATGCAATCTGGAATTCACTGTACAGCAGAATGGCAGAATATAGGTATTTTATTCATGTAAACTTATCAACCCCACCCCCACAAAAAAGCTGGTTATCTTTATTAAAAAGCTGAAATAAATCATGCACGCTGTCCATAATTATAAAGCAAAATTAAATACACTTCTGTTTGATTAAGCGATGAATCCTATAGTATGTTCACTGTGTTTGGGCTCAATGAATAGTTAAAGTTAGTGATATCTAATTAATCAAATGCTTTCTGAGCTGAATAAATAACATGCATTGTTACATCTTGCTGTACTTGTGTGGTAAAGAATGTGGGTTAATTGGGATTTGAAATCTCTAACCGTTGAGTTGCCAATCCTGTCTGACCATGCCGTGATGCGACTGACTGACTCAGCAGAGCGCAACCATGAACGGTTTATATACCGTTGCGATGGATGGGGAAGAACGATGGCTGAGGAGCATGCAGGCCAATCCACAGCCCTTTAGAAAGTGATCATACAGAGGCAGAACTTGCTTAGGTAACCTGTATAGAATTGGTGCTGCTCGTTGCTCTGTCTGATAAAAAAGCACCAGAGCTGCATCCTCGAATGATCCAGCTTGATTTTAATCCTGCGAGAAGTAAGAATGGTAGGCAGTGAAGTTTATGAAACAGTATCTTTGCTTTCAACTTTGGCTCTCATGTATGGCTTGGTTTACTACTACAGATATTACTGCATGCTCACTTTAAGTAATGAAATAGATTCATTTGCTTATTGAAAATGACCGGTGTGACCCTCCAAAGTACTCAATGCTACATCTCATTAGAATTTTATTATGACGTACACAGATACACCAGAAGCTGAAGCTGGAAAGGGTAGAGATGTCTGCAGAAGCTCATTGGAATGTCATCTCAAGCTGCAAACCTCACATTTGTTTCAAGGTCATCCACAAGACTGGAGCATCCACATAAATATTCAAGATCTAATTTTATTGTTTTCATTCCATGTAAATATGGCAGCACTTCCCAGTCAAAGCTAATGAATACATGCCTTCTTAGTTTCTTAATCCAAAGAAAGGATGAGTTGGGTCTAGTTTAAGACAGATGCTTCAGAGCTCGAAGAAGTGGCCTTCATGGTCCCCTCCTCCCCACCCCAGGCTGTCCCTGCCCCAGTCATGCTAAAATGCTGTCCAGTGGGCCAGGGGACCCCACTGAACAGAGAAGGCTCTGAGGGGGAAGTTGGGGATTCCCTGAGCATCATGGGGAGACACCTTCTGTGAGTGGAGCTCTGCTTCCTGAAAAGTAGCCTTACCTCATTTCTAGGCACCCTTTTCTCCCGCAGCCCTCCAGGCACAGCCTGCCCCATGCAGCTGGGTCCCTGGACCCACTCTTTGTGTAGCATTTCTGGAAGGCTGAAGGGGAGAGCCCCTTTCCAGCAGCCCCACTGCACAGTCCCAAATCTGCAAGCAACCCTATAATCAAGTCGAGTCAGGTGCTCAGTTTTTGAAAGGTCTCTGTTCAAAACTTGCTAGCACAAAATTTCATCATTTGTAGAATGAGTAGGAACCTAACATCACTTACTACTTTAATTCAAAGCAGAATGCTCTACTCGGCCATCAGACCTCGAACCCCCACCAAGCTCACCAATCGGTCCAGAACACAACTGGGCCACACCACATGGCACACAAATAGGACCACCAGATCTACCAGTATCACCCAGAGCAGCCTGTCACACCTTGCCTGAGTGTTGATTGTGACAGATTGCCTGAGAGTTAGTGAGTCAGAGGAAAGGGGTTCTAGATGCAGAAACATACAAGCCTGGTTCATACATAACATTATGCCATGTCATTATAGACTGCTGAGTTCCACTTGCGCTGCGCAAACCCAGTCATGCTAACAAATCAGGGTTTATTAACCATCAAGAACCCGGAAAGAGGATGCTTGGTTTGCAGTTGGATTGTGAACACAAGATGCTTTAAACCATCTGTTGTCATTCTGTGAAGATTCAGAGCCATGGCCTGTTCCTGGGTTGTTTTGCCAGGTACAGCAGTGGCAGGCAAGAGCTGCCCAAAACCCCCAGCCACTCTACATGACGGTATTACAGTGCCGCAAAAGCATTTGGGATACTGGTGGTGAATGGATGAAATGCTGCCCAGTGTATACAGACTATGCTGCTGCAGGATGCAATTAGTCAGCTATTCTAGGTGTTATTCATCACAGAAGGGAAAACTTAATAGGCACAGGTTTCATGCCTGTACATTTCCCCTTCCATAGAAGGATAAGAGCTGTGGCTTGAAGCCAAAGAATTAAGAGACTCCACCCCCTACACTGCTTTTCAGATCCAGATTAGGCCCACTCGGGGCCTGTTTTTTAAAAGGAGAATATGTGTGGTGTTCCAGTCATGGAAGTTTCATGTGATGGCTAGTTTGGCTCAGATTGTGCCCCAGCAACAGCATATACTGTAGCATTATAATCTGGATGAACTGCTGTCTTTTTCTGAGCTGCCTGGTTGCAACAATGGACTTATGAAAACAAATATCAGCTGGCTGTGCAGCTGAGGGGATCAGGCAGTTTTGTGTCCAAGCCTTTTGCAGAATGAAGTGGCAGAGGCTATCACTAAGCCCTGCCTCACATCTCAGGATCTGAGGTCTTTTGAGACCCTGAGCATGGAGAGGGTTCCTTTTAGAGCAACTCCTGGTGACAGAGGCAAGATTTCCAAGTCGTTAACTGATTTAAATTTGTTCTCGATGCCCACTATCTGCCCACTCAGCCAGTCAATTACTGAACATAAGAAGAACTCATTTACACAATCATTTCCTGTGGCACCCATTCTTCAGTTTGCCATGACTCAGTTCCAAATACTCCAGAGGAAAGTGCTGGAAAATCCTCTATGTAGTGTGGTTTTAGGGGGAGAAGGCAACGCCACCCAAGCTCCAAATGACCCAAATGGAGGCATTCATATAGAAAATTGTCCCAGTGACGTTTTGAATGCAGTAGGAGTCATTTTGCTTACAACTGCTTGAACTAACGTAATACAATATTGTTTATATATCCACAGGTGAGTTTTCCTCAGCACAGAATTATAATATTCATGATCAAGAACTCAATAAGTAAAAGACTGACTTAGTAGCAATGCTTTATCTAGCGGCAAATTAGGTGCTGGCTGTGTAAAGCACATACTGAATCTGCACATTCATTTTCTGAAAGGTTGAATGTTCACAATATACAGCTAGGGCACAATACACTTCCCCAAGGTCTTTCAAGCTTCCTCTTTACTAACTTGGTCATGGAAATTAAGCACAGATGCTTCATGTTCCATCATGGAGGGAGAATGGTCAACTGCAAGCCTGAAAAGGGCTGTCTGTGGGGCCAGCCCTGCCACTGGGTAGTGTGCTATTCGTTTCAGGTGGCAGATGCTGGGGTGTGAAGGCAGTGGCGAGGCTATTGGAGAACAGAGCTGTGTGTGTGCCACATGGCCTGACCTGCCCCCTTAAGCTGGCTTGCTGCCCTCAGGTGCATTGGAGGATGTGTCCTGTGTCACCAGCATGGACACAAGGCTCACCTGCCAATTGGTCAACTTTGCTAAGGCAACTGGTACCACCTCCTCCACCCCCAAGCTTTTTTTGCAGACTCTGCTGTCACCACTCCAGCCAGGTGGAAAAGGGTGCAATATAAGTGCTACAAGCATATAACTGAACAAACAAGCAATACATTTGCCTTTTAAAAATATGTGTCTTTGCATTTTAAACAATGTGATACCTTTTTTAAAGCCAGAGTTGCAAATATAGCCTTTTACAAATCAGTATAGCTACATTAGAAAATGGCATCTGTGCTTGCAGAGTTGCGCCACTACCCTAATCCTGGAGTGCACACAAACCCCACACCTGCCACATTTTATTGAACTTTCTATCCTCACTGCTATAGAACAGGCCTTTCTATGCATACACATTTCTTTCTCTCAGAAACATGGGCTCAGTTTGCATGAGAAACAAACTAGGAACCAAAACACAATGACTGCATGGGGCACCCTCTCTTTGAATGAATACTGATATTAAACTGTGCCAAACACTGCAGTTCTGATAAATCCGATGTCGTCCATCTCCAAGTGAGTGCCCATTAATGTCTGAGAATTGACTTGGTCTAGAAATTACTTCCCATTGTACTGGAAACATTCTTGACAACCTAAGGAACTCAACAAATATAGGGCTTATCATAGAAGCTATTGTAGCAATATGATAAATTAGCTGATTATCAGCAGTGGATCTTACACCAATGTCCTCTGATCTGCTGGACATTTAAGGACAAGGCTACTAAACTATAAAGATTTATCATTTATTCTACAGATTTGATAAAATAATTCATAGAAGATGTTAAATTAATGTTATTTTCACAGAAATGTGAAAGTATCTAGTCTGCCATGATAAACAATTATGTTAATCATCCATCATCACCATCTATTTCTACATTAGAAACATACAATATCAAAAACCGTCACTCACTCACAGAGGCTGTAAAACAGTAAAATGAGAGACGAAGGTTAGTTTTCAATCAAAATTGTCCTTGTTTTAAAAAGGACAGCTCTGTGCAACAGTGTTGTGCTGCGTATTAAACTAAACCTACCTCTTTGCTCTCTTCCAAATCTGATTCACTGCTGAACTCTTCAGTATTTAAATTTTCAAAATCCGATTCCCCAACTGCAATGGGCACAGTCACAGTGACACTTGGATTGTTTATGAATGACATGTAATCGCTTTCATCAATGATATATTTTTCCACACTGCTGCCTATACCACTGGTTGTTCCATTGCCATCTTTCAAATAGTTGAAGTCTTTGCCAATGTCTACTATAGTATGGTTAGAAATGCAGCTCTCTTTCTTGTTGTTTAGGTCTTCAAGTGGTTTGATTTCATCCAAAGCCTTTTGTTTCCTCACAAAGGCCTTCTGCACAAATTCATGTGCTTTTCTTTTCACGTAATCAATCCCTCTCTGAATCCTGGCCACAGCAATCTGGAGGTTGTTCATTTCGTTGTCATCATCAGTAGCAGCAAGATTGTCTGAGCTGAAGGAGCTCAGGAGCAAAGCTAGAAACAGGTTCAGAACCTATGAAGACAGGAGGACAGCTGAGTTTTAAGTCACACAAGGAAAATAGCTGCCTTTTGCATTTTTTGGTGTAACTATTTAGGTTCCTGATGGTACTCACATCAGACAACCTTTATGCCATGTTTCCTAGTCTATGATCTGTTTATGACATAAGGAATGGAGGGGTGGCCTTATGCTTTCAGATTATCAGTCTATCTAGCCCTGCTTTGTCAGCACTGATAGGCAACAGCTCTCCAGGGCTTCAGGCAGGAGGCTTTCCTAGCCCTACCTGGAGATACTGGAACCTGGGATCTTCTGCATGCACAAAGCAGGGTCTACCATTGGACTGTGGCCCTCAAATCAGTCAATGCCAGTTCCAAGTTTTTGAGGGTCCTTGAGCAAGGCACCCCCAGTGGGCCCACATCCTCAGTAAGTCCACCTTCTCATTACCATGGTCACCAGCTGCTGTTGCTTTTCATCCTCTTTATTTGTTTACTTATTGTATTTTCCTCTCACTTTGTGTTTCCTGTAAAGAAGCTACAGTGGCTTAAGGAGTCTCCTTCTGCTTTCCACTTGATCTTCTCAAGAGCACTGTGAAGCAGGTTAGCCAGGGAGGCAATGGCTGGCCCAAAGCCACCCAGTGAGCTTCCTGACTGAATGAATCCCACATCCCCTGAATCCCACCCAGCCCCCACATTGGCTCCTTTCCTCATCATTGCTGCCGCTTGCTTGATTGACAAGCAGACGGACTGTATGAAAACAGCCTATGGCATCTGCCATCCCTCTGCCTCATCTTCATGCTATCATCTGTTCTGGAGCAAGAGCAAGACGCAGGTGAACACACTGGTTGTGGTGAGGAAGAAGGGCAGCAAGTCCAGCAGGCTCTTTCCAGGGGCCTCATGCTGGGATGCAGAACTTCAGCTGCTTTTCAACTACTTTTAAAGCCAGCCCTGAACTCAGTGTTCCCATTAATGTACCTACGAAATCAACTGGTTGATTTTCTAGACTAAAATGCCCTTTGTTCTATTGCCCAATATTTTCTACTGAAAATACTACAAATTGAACACAATCCTTCCGATTTGCAAAGCTTGGATTCTGCCAGTGAATTAAGACCACAGGTTTTCTGGATGCAAAAACAGTGGTACAACTGATGAACCCGAGTATAGACAAGCCCCTTCATGTGAAACTAACAGGGGATTTCATTCTGGTGATGTGTTTAAAGGGAGCCAGAATTGCCCAAGAAGGTGTTGGTGATGGATGGAGAGGACTTGTCTTTAAGGGTGAAAAAGTACAAACATACTAATTCCATTCATTCTAAAATCTGTTGAACTGTACAAGCACAAAAACAAAGAATGCTAACCTTAACCCTAACCATAATCCTAACCCTAACCCTAACCCTTGATTTGTAATCTAAATGTGTTTACATTTGTGTGGTAATTTACATATGTTGGTATGTGTTTCTAATTTGTGCTTGACTTCCTATTATATGCAAACAATTAAACGTGTTTTAAAAGTTGTTAAAAACCAAGTTGTCAAATATTAACTTGAAATATGCATTAGTCAAATACATACCACTAGATTTCCAATTACCATGACCATCATGAAGACAGTAAGGCACATTGTTTGTCCAGCAACTTCCATACAATCCCACATAGTCTCTATCCATTCTCCACAAAGTACTCGAAAGACAATCAAGAAAGAATGGAAAAAATCATTCATGTGCCACCGTGGAAGTTCACAGTCATTGGAGATCTTGCAGACACATTCCTTGTAGCTTTTCCCAAAGAGCTGCATTCCAACCACGGCAAAAATGAAGACGATGATGGCCAGGACCAAGGTCAAATTTCCCAAGGCACCCACTGAGTTGCCAATAATCTTTATCAACATGTTTAATGTTGGCCAAGATTTGGCCAATTTGAAAACTCGAAGCTGAAAAATGGAAGTGTACAGATGTCGATATCAGAGCTCATTCCCATGGTGTTATACTTAAGAAAAGAGTTACTTTCTTTCAAAAGTCTACTGCTAAGAGTTGATGTTATTTTTACTTATCCATTCTGGACTCCTGGAATGACAAAGGTTGTCATAAAGTAGGGGTGAGCAGACAGTAGATCTCCAGAGGTTTTGGACTTCAGATCCCAGAAGCCCCTGTCAACAAGGCCAGTGGTCAGGGATCCAGGGAGCTGAAGTCCAAAACATCCTGAGGTATACTTTTTGCCTGTCCTGATGTAAAACATGTATGAACTGACAGGTTAGGCTGCAATCCCACTGAACTTCAAAATAAACATGCATTAACTTGTGCTCTTAGACCGTTAGAACACAACATGTTAATCCATGCATATGCATTAAAAACCTATCTTCAGGAGAAAAAAACAAAGCGAGGAACAGCAAAACCTAGAACATGCCCAGTCATGATCTGAAACCTCTGTGACTTATTTTCTACTTACCAGTCTGAAGGATCTCAGGACTGACAGGCCTTCCACGTTGGCGAGACCCAGTTCCATCAAACTCAGGCTGACAATGATGCCATCAAAAATATTCCACCCTTCTTGGAAATAATAATAAGGATCCATGGCTATTATCTTAAGGAACATTTCTGCTGTAAAGATGCCAGTAAACACCTACACACAGAAATATGATTTGTCATCAGACCCAAATAACAATGATCATATTTGGTAATATGTGTGCTGAAGAGGACAAGAAAAGGACAGCATCATCAACACTTTGACTGTGATCCTAAGAAGTAAAAGGCATTACTGTAGTATTTAGTATACCCAACTTTTCAACACGTGTTTTCCAGCAGGTAAAAGAGCCTGCATGAATCTCAGCCTCCTGTAGCTTCCCCTTGAGGCCTAAACAGACATGACTTTAAATGTGTATCTCACACCTATGTCTCTTCATTGTTACTTTTGTCATTGCTGTCTTACTTTGATTAGACACATAAGGGTGATCCAGATTGGGGACCCTAGTATAGGGGGCGGGGGGTTAAGAACTCCTATAGTTATACCTTGTGGCTCCTTATGAAACCATGCCTCACATATGGTGGGTTAGATCTAGAGAAAGGAAAAAACCCTAGTCCTGCTATTAGCCGACTGAGGAGGGACAGATAGAGCAGGGAGGGAGTATCACCTCACTGGCAGAGAGAAGCTTCACTGTGTGGGTCTGCCATACATGTCCCTGCTAAGCTCGATAGGTGTAGATCTACCACTAAGGTTGTTTCTGCTGCTGGTAGGCCTTAAGGCAGGGTGATCTAGAAGCACATCTGGTTTTCTAAGATTGAAAGTCCTCCCTCTCTTGACCTACTCCAAGATTGGATTCTTAGATGTGAGCTGGCATATATATTTTCTCTCCTTTTGGAAGCAATGGAAGTAAAATGATTAAATAAATAGAATCATTACAACAGGAAGGTGAAAAAACACCTCCTCCAGGATGTTGTGAACAAGCAAGGCTGTGGATGCTTAGGTGGATCCATGGCAAATCTCCTTCCACCACCTTCATACATAGGGTAGTTTTGCCTAACACTTACTTCCACTGATTTCTCTTGTAATCATGACTAATTTTTCACAATCATTTCAACAGGATCTCAGTGTGACTAACTTAATTGGGATCCAGCCTAGAAAATCTAAGCAACTTGGAAACTCTTTCAGTAATAGATGCTTTCTGGTATATAGGACACTGAGGCAGACTTACCAAGTTTCCAACAGACAGCACATTATTGAACTGAGGCGTCATTGGATAATGTTCCATAGCCATAAACAAAGTGTTCAGAACAATGCAGATGGTGATAGCAAGGTCGACAAACGGATCCATCACAATCAAATTAACAATATGCTTTATTTTTAACCAGGGAGGCCAGCAATCCCAGATTAAGCACATGTTTGCAAATTTATACCAGCACGGGGGACACTTCTGTCTAGATTCCTCAAGTTCTAGAAAAGGGGAGAAAAGGACAAGTACAAAAAGAATTCTCAACAACATAACACTTAGAAGACAATCTACTTTATCCACCCAACGCACGCATGTCCCAGAATAAGTTCCCCTCCCTGCCCATGTATGTGTTATGTATTAAAGTGCTAGACATTGTATGAATGCTGTCTATATATTCAGCTAATTTTAAAAGAAAATACACACATATAAGAAAGCAATAGGTCCTAGAATTCTGATTTCTGCTCATATTGCATGGTGGGTAACTACTTGAATTTTTAAGCCAGTCGTATCTTAAACAATTCCTAAACTGGATTGTGAGCACTGTGTCTTTAGCCATCATTACATGGACCAGGTTTCTCTATATATGCAGTTTTTTCTTGCTAAAATGACATATGGCTTTGCCATATAGTCTGATTTTTAATTTGTTGGTCTGTCAGGGATTTGTAAAATCATTTGTATATTCATATACTGTAATCTAAAGGGCAATGTACCAACTGGTAGAAGGCTTACATTCAGGTTTAACATTCAGTGATTTGGTGTTATGTTCTAGCTTTAGAAATGCATGGCAAGTAGCTGTCAAACCTTTATATCAAGCCATGATTGGAAGCTGGTTTACCACCCATGGTTTCTCCTAATTTAGCTTACTGTCCTGTCTGGATTCAGAAAACCTAGGTGAACAAACCCCAGCCAAAGCCGTTGCTCTGCTTTAAGGACAGCTGCATCACAGAAATGGGGGCAAATAGCTGGGAAGCAGAAGCAGACAAGCAGTTCTGCACAATTGGAAATTCTAGCCATGGGGTGGGTTCTTCACTATGTGTAGAATGAACCATGAGGTGGCGTCCACTGTGAAGAGTCTCTGAGCACTGATGATGTTGCATTAGTGGAAACCACTGCTGCTGCAATGGGAAGAAAAGGACAAATGGCAGGAGGTGATGGCCCCCAAGAGAGGATGCTTGCTCATTTGCTGCTCAGGAGAGTGATGGGCTCTCCAATAGCCCATCAAGCCCAAATGTCTTGCTCAGAGGTGGTCTTTCTGGGTTTACACACCTTCCATTGTGTTGGTAAGTATGCTGGCTATACTCATTGCTCTTTGCCTCGCAGTAGGTTCAGACAGAAAATCCATAGACATATGGTAAGAACTTGAGCGTCTTTTTCTTAATTCTGTTTCAGTAGTGGTGCCCTGGAAAAAAATTGCCTATGAATGTAAAAAGTCATCATATCTTTGCTTTCTTAAAAATAATCAGCCATGGTAAAAGATCTAATTATGGAGATGGCCAAATTTCCTATAGAACTTAAATCAAAAGCATATTTGCTAGTAAGTTCCATTGAGCATTAATATTAAGCAATAAATTCCCTATATCTGTAAAAACAGGGATTCAGCCCTTGGGATAAAAGAGAAATCCATCTGATTTGCTTTTTAATGCATGCTTTCCCAGTTTTGCACTTTTGAATCAATAAGCACACCCAAACCTAATTTCCCTCTAAATTCCACTTCTCCAATCACAAAATTCATGCAGAAACATGTAGAAATATTTTTGCACAGAAAGCCCACACACAAATGCATACACCCATAAAAATGTTTAAAATGCATTAACTTGGGAAAATCACTTGCAAAAAATGCATACACTAGGCACAACTAGATAGATGTTTTCATGAAAACTTTTTTTAAAATTCCAAAATCTGTGATGAGCCAAATTTAGGACTGGAAAACTGAGCAATTAGACTTGTCAAATTTGTCCATCCTTACTGAATACCTCCTGGTATTCTCTTTCTATAAATGGTTCCCCAGGGAATGAAGAGTCAAATGTTTGACATGTGTTGAAGCACTCATAATTGCTGGTTTTGGGAATGTGCTAAGGGCAGCCAATGAACTTCCACCCCTGAAGCAAAGCTTTTCTGAACCTGGCTAGCACTGGGAGAAAAAGCCCTTTTCAGGCATTTGCTTAAACTCACGTGGGCTTAACGTGTGTGCTGGAATGAGGCCACACCAGCTGATCTCACTGTGGATGTGCTGTCATGTTGAACCAGCAAGTTCCAAATGGCAGTTCTGTTTTGATTTCCTTGAGAGCAAGTGAAATTCACAGCACCATCACGGACACCTTTTCAGGCTTCCAATTGCACAGGGTTCTAGTGGGTAGGCTGGTATATACAACTCCATGCCAGTACACACTTCAAGCCTTCACACATTCAAGTGAACACCTTAAACAGGGGTAGAGTTGTTGCTATGCTATGTTGCTGTTACAACCTGCCAAGTCATCTCCAACTTATGGCATCCCTATGCATGAGTGTTCTTCAAAAATTCCCTGCCCTTGATAGCCCTGTTCAGCTCTTGTAAACTCAAGGCTGGGGCTTCCTTTACGCAGTCCACCCATCGCATACTTGGTCTTCCTCTTCTTCTCCTGCCTTCAATTTTCCCTAGCATGACTGACTTTTCCAGTCCATCTAGTCTTCTCATGAATTTCAGCCATGCCCTTTGGAACTCCCTGGAAGTAGGGTGGAATTCAAATGTATCCAATGCACACGAAGATGCTGTGAACCACCCCAGCATCCCCTTCACGTTGCATTCGCCAAAGGAACAAAAGTAGGCAGGTCTAGTCTGACTTGCCACTAGTCAGCAGTGGAACATTTGGAGGCTTTTCTCATCAACCATTGATGGGAAGATAGGCTTGACCAGGAAATCGCATTGGACAGCCATGGGCCAAGAAATCTTTGGCAGTATAGAAATGTAATAAAATGTGATGACATAGCATTTCTTTGACAGGGGCCTGGGGGTTAAAAGCACAGCTCCCTCTTCATCTGTGTTGTGGGGGGGGGGTGCAGAATCTTTCATGAGAACAATGCTAAATCATTGGTCCAAGTGCTCAGGTTTTTGTTTTTAAAGTTGGCTACCGGTTGGCAGCCACTGGAAGGAAATGTTGCTGCTCACTGGAGATTTCCACCACCAACTCCAAATTTTGCCCTCGAGGGGTTCAGGTCTCCTTCTGTGCTTGCAAGTATTTATCAAAGTTAGCATTTTTTTCACAGATTTATCCATCCCATTTCCTGATAAATTGCTACCATCCTACTTATGATCCCCACTGCTGCTAAAGCCTGCCAATAAAATTGGGATTGAGTCAAGCCATTCTTTGTAGTTTCGTTTAGGATGTATTCACAGACATTCCCACATTTTTGCTTGGCTCCAGCCCTGTTGAGGAGGGCAGAAGCAGCGTTGCAGAGGGTGAGGGGCCATGCACACTGGCCATGCCCCTTCCACGCAGGACCTCCATGCACTGAGTGCAATGGTCTGGAGGGAAATTCCAAGCAAGTTCGGCTTAATGAGTTTAGGAGACTGCCTACAGTCAGGACTGTAGTCTACAGTCCTGCCTACAGTCAACTGCTGCACAGTTGGAGTTCCTGATTGTGGGGATGCAGAATTCCATTGGAATGCAGTGGGTGGTGAGCATGGCCGTCTCTCTCTGTAGAGGTTGTGCCCTTGCACATTCTTTGGGAATCGGGCTACAGCAGGCGTCTTGAACCTCTCCCAACCTGAGGGCCAAATTCCACTATGGAGAAGCTCTCAGGGATCACCATCCAGTGATGGGCAAGGCCAAAACCTGAACAGTCCGTGCCAAAAATACAAAGAGATACCAACAGATTGGAGCTTAATGAGGCCTCAGAATGAGAAAAGCTGCACAAAGCCACCAAAGAATCAGTGGGTCAGAAGAAAAGACGGTGGGGCCAGGGAAGGAGCCACCGATGGGCAGACTGGGACCCTAGGGAGGCTGGTTTTGGCCTCTGGGCCTGTAGTCCTGTGCTCCCAGGTCACCATTTCAGATTATTTTCTTTAAGAGAAAAGACAGCCATAACTTGTCCTACCATGTATTCATGAAGAAGCTAATGCCAGGAAACACAATGGCAGTGCTAAAAGGCTTGGTGCACTTTCTCCTCAATGGCTGCTTATCTATGATTACCTCAGGGAGAAGCTGCCCCGTGGGCGACATCAGAGCAGGAGGCCCGCCAACTAAAGAGACCACCCCATTGCAGTCCACGGTGCTATGCATCTTCCCATTCGCTGGAAGCACAGGCAGTACCCTGGACGACCGGCTGGCCTGACTAATGTTGCTGTTGCGCCGCTCACTGTGTCTGTGTGGAACAAAGAGAGAATCCCTCCTGCTCTCATTGTCTTCAAAGGTGCTGTGCTCATCATCAGCAAAGTCATTCTCTGATCCTATGTCCTTTGTTCGGCCTCTGAAACTGAAAAGACTCGCTTTGCTGCTGCGCCTTGGGGAAAAGAGGGATCCACGGATGCTCAGCAAAGACTGTAAGGAAATGCAAGAAGGCAACCTGAGATCAAGGACATCGATAAGCCACATACAAGAGGAAAATGGAAAATGGAGGAAATCTTAAATACAGTGAAATGATGGGGCTGTAAGCCTGTCTCCCCCCACCACCTCGCTTGCAAAGGAAATGATGAAACACAAATGCTCTTAGGCTTAGGAACCATCTCCATCAATGTTCACATCCCCAACGCTAAATAAATACTTATTAAAGATATGCATTTTATTACAACAAAAGACTGCACAGTAGAATTGTTTCTCTCAGCTTTGCATTCAGTATGGGAGGGGTCATAAATGAATACAACCACTGCCAACCATTGGTCACCCCATCTTTGCACTGGCTGCAGGGCCACAGTCAGAGGCTGGCATCACTGGGGCCCAGCCAAGGTCCATGACCCCAGAGAGGGGCTCACTGCTGTCTCCCGGTGATCTCCAGTCTTGTGCTTTCTCTGTGCCACTGCTGCTTTGTTTGCTTGTCCTCTTGAAACAAGCAAGCAGTGAGTGGAGAGAGGTGGGGAAGGAAGGAAGGAGCAAGGAAGCCCTGCATGACTTGTTCTCTCCCTCTGGTAGAAACTGTGGACTGGGCCCAGTGGGAGATGTGAGCAGCAAAGGGGGAGATGAGGCTGAGGGGGCTGCACTCCAGAGATCCAGGCGCAAGGACCTCCCAACACCTGAAACCAGCACAGGTTGGCTTGCAGGCTTGGGTAGATACAGTTTCTCTGCCAGGCACTCATTCAAGTGATTTGCTGGCCAGGTGTTCCTCATGGTAACTACATTTTTGTAGTGAAAAAAAGCCTTCCTGTGCCCTGTTCTGTCCATCAGACAAATACATTCCAGGTTGCAACTAATGAAGTGGATGCATGAAGGGAGCAGGCAGGAAAGAAGAGGGTTTGTGAACCTGAGATTCCTCTGAGTAACATCAAATGACCATTTGCCATAACCCATAGTCTCATCATGCCAACATATGGGAGCAGTGGACCTTTTTTCAAAAACCAAGTATACACATCCATGTAGCCTTCTGCAAACACATTCCTGTGGGGAGCCAAGTGCTTTCCCAGTGGCCAAAGAATTACCCTTACACAAACAGGTAGGGATGCATTCTCCATACCTGATGTGGAGAAGAGAAGCGTTTCTCATATGTCAGTCTGTTCCCTTCGATAGAGAATCGGAAGCCTTTCCTTCGGATGCTGTCCTCTGATTCAGATTTGTGAAATTTGTCTTCATCCTTTTCATCTCCTTCGGTCTGTTCTCTCTGTTTCCGTTTCTTACGCCGATTCCTCCTCTCTTTAGCACTCTTTGAACTCAACTTTGAGGTGGCTGAAGAACTCTCCGAGAACTCTCCTACACCACCAACTTCGCTGAATTCTCTAGATTCCCCGGCTGTGGCGGCTAAAGCAGCTGCCTGTTGTGTGAACATTGAATACATGTAAGATGTGCAGTACTAATCTGTTAAGACTATTACTGAAGCTTCATTTTGAAAGCAGATGGAGTAGGAAGTTCACTTCATGAATCCCATGTTCCAAGCAAGACTGAGCTTAACACAAAAAAGGTTGCAGGTTTAAAGTGCTCAGGAGCATTCCAGGACTTCACCAAAATTACCTCAGGGGGGCAGTTTCAGTCCCAGAGCAAGGCATTTTGCCCTCATGGTTGCACCCACACCTTTCGGGGCTGAATGCACCATTAGGCAGAGTGAAATGGCTACTTCAGGCAGCCACTGCTGGAGGTGAAGGATCCTCTCCATTCCCCTGGATCCCCTAAACTAGTCCCCCCTGCGCTCCCTACTGAACATTACTTCCATCTGCTACAGTGGAGGATGCTGTTTCAACACTAGTGTTAAGTGAGATCCAGTGGACCGCCCCGTCCAGTCAGTGGAATAACAGGGGTGAAGCGGGAGGCCCATTTTGCCCTTTGCCACAAGCAGTGATGTGTTTGGAACCAGCCTCCTCTCCTTACTGCTGGAAACAGCACTTTCAACATCTCGTTGCAATATTCAGACTCCAGTTCTTGCCTATCCACCTCCAGCTCTTGTGGCATCGTCTGAAGCAGGTCGCTTCACCCAGCTGCCCTAGCCAGGTTCGCTCTAGCATTGCTAAGCCTCACCTGAGAAATGCTTCCTCCCTCATGAGTGGTGAAGGATGGTGAGGAGAAGGTAGGTCTGCCCCACTGTAATGGGAACCAGGGCCTCATCCAGCAAGCTGGAACCAGTGTAGTTATATTCCTTCTTCAAAAACCATTCAGTAGAGAGGGAGAAAGGGATACTGAGAATATATATCCTTTCTCTTGCTGGGCAGACAGCCCTATTGAATGCATAACCCACAGCCAAAAAGGTTGAACAGGTATTGAGCCTGGTCCAGTGAAACTTATGAAAGAAAGAGGGACAGGACAGGGACAGGCGTCCCTTTGTCCTGTCGCAATGTGAAAAGGAAACAGACATATTTATTCCTGTTCATTAGGCTGGACTGGATGGCCTATTCTTTTTAACAGAATGGCCAATCTGTGCAGAATTAAATCAAGCCAGGTTAAATGCCTGTTTTAGTGCAGCGAACAAAATGCACTCCATATTTGAGTATTCTGAAACACATTTACTATCCGTGGGGAGACACACTTTGGCCATTTTGAGACAGAAGGAACAATCCTCAGTGGTGCTCTAGGCCCAGTAGTTCTGCCTGAAGGAATATCAGTTTTGAATGCTCTCCTTGCTCCATCCAGTGGACTTCTGTTCCTCTCATTTGGCTCTCTGTGTATCCATGTGCACCACTCAGAAGCCACTTGGAAGGGTTCAAGCTCACATACACCTGATAGTAAACAGATAAAAGCACCCTGCTACAATTTGGCAAAACAGTTTTTACATCCTGTCTGAGCAGAAGACAAAAACATCAGAAATCGCATTCCACCGTAAAGTAACCTGAGCTTCTTCTTGCTGTTTTTTCAGCTGCTCCAGCATCTGCTGAAACTCTGCCTCCTTCTGCTCCGCTTCTTCCAAGGTGGCCTGGTTCTGCTCTTCGTAGGCCATGGCGACCACAGCCAGGATCAGGTTGATCAGATAGAAGGAGCCCAGGAAAATCACCAGAACAAAAAAGATCATGTAGGTTTTGCCAGCTGCTCGCAAGGTCTGTTTTTAAAAAGGACAAAAGGAACACAAAATTTCACAACATTCTTCTGAAAGGTACTGGCCTCCC